AGTAGAAATTCATTTTCTTACAGTTGTGGAGGCCAGAAGTCCAAGATCAAGATGTGTGCAAGTTTGGTCTCTCCTAAGGCCTTGTGCCTTAGCCTGCACATTGCAGCCTTCCAACTGTGTCCTCACATCCGTGATATCTGATATGTTCTTGTTTCCTCTTAGGATGCCAGTTGATTGGAGTAGGGACCTGACTCTTTTCAAAGTCTCTATTTTCAAGTATAGTCATAACTGGAGGTACTGGGAACTGAGACTTCAATTTTTAATCTGTGGCATCTTGGTTGGGTTGAGGAGGGAGGAGCATAATTCTGCTTAAAGAACTAAATTCTGATTTTGCCTGCTAGAGTAAAGACCCCCGTTGAGCCTGCTAAAGCTTCAAGGCCCACCTTAATGCTGATGACTAACAACCCACATGACCAGGACCAATCTGGTACCCCACCCTTGATGTTTCCCATCTGTGGCTCCGAGGCACTAGACATCTAGGAGGATGCAACTGGAAATTGCTGGGTGGGTTTGTCAGTCTTTACTACCGAGTAGAGGGATGTTTTTGGACAGGAACCTGGACTAAACCGAACTGTGCTAAACTGAATTATGACTCTGCCATAAACCAGCCTGCAGCAGTTCTTGGCTTAGCTTTCACTTTTGGGAGGCTGAGTCTAAGAGCTCCAGGAATCACTTGTGCAGTGACAGGGCCTACTGAGACTGCTCAGGTGCCTTTTTGGAAGCTCTCCATGAGTGGGAAAAAGTGGGCACCTACTGGCGGGTGCATGGTCACTGAGTGTCCTTTGCAGTGCCCTGGAACCCAGCCTTACAGGATTTCTGGCTGGCAGCACCTCCTCCTGCTCCAGCAAGCCCCTTGTTCATGGAGCCTTAAGGCTGCCATGTTACTCACGTTTTTGCCACAAATACTGGTTCTTTGAAAAGACAAATGTCTGGCATGCAAATCAAGAAAAAAAATTACAAATATAAACATGAAAGACACTGTTATATATGCTCTAGGATTGGTAAAAGAATATTTGAAAACAATTTTATGACAGATTTAAAAATGTAGATGACCATCTACTTAGAAAAATATTATTTCCCTAGACTGATAAAAAGAGAAATGATTGTACTATCATCATTTAAAGTATGGAAACAGTAGTCATCACTCTTACTATAAAGAGATCTTCATACCCAGAGTTGCTTCGAATTTCAAACATTTAATAAATGAGGTCAGTGTCGCTCATGAACACAGATGCCAAAATCTTATACTGGCGACTCTAATCCAGAACCATATAAAAAGGATATGTCAAGATCATATTTTTTTTTCTAAAAATCATACTTTTTAAAAATGAAAAGTCAATTTAAATCACCATATGAACAGATTAACAGAAACCAGTGAGATGGGGGGTGTCCCAAGCAGCATTCTAAACATTTTGTCAAATGCCTGCCCATGCAATAGCAGCCTTTAGACTTCTGTTCAAAATAGTTACTGTGGGGCCGGCACCGTGGCTCACTTGGTTAATCCTCTGCCTACGGCGCCAGCATCCCATATGGGTGCCAGGTTCTAGTCCCGGTTGCTCCTCTTCCAGTCCAGCTCTCTGCTGTGGGGGATGGCCCAAGTGCTTTGGCCCCTGCACCTACATGGGAGACCGGGAAGAAGCACCTGGCTCCTGGCTTTGGATCGGCACAGCGCCGGCCATGGCGGCCATTTGGGGAGTGAACCAATGGAAGGAAGACCTTTCTCTCTGTCTCTCTCTATAATTCTACCTGTCAAAGTAAAAAACAAAATAGCTACTGTGGTTCCTTAGTACTCTTGCACTTCTTAATAGGTGTCTTGTCTCCGAGGGGAACAGCGTCTGGTACACAGGCTGAGGAGGAACCTGCTGAAGGAGAAATGGCTTTAGTTTATTGGACATGCTGTTGTTCAGGGGCTGCTCTCGTACCTTTGGATTGGTTGCTTTTGTACTCTGAGCTCTGTATCAGGCTTTTCCAGGATACCATAAAGTAAGGCCAGGGGCTATACCACATGGATGCTGCTGCTCACCCAGAAGGGACCGGTATCTCATGGAGCCTTCCTGATATTTTGGTTTTTGTTGTGGAGGCTTCTGGAGAGGGCTTTGTCCAGGGCTTCTGTGGGTGACCGTGGGCTGGCCTGTTGAGTGCTGTGTCCTGGGGCTGTGTTTACTGGTCCCTGAGCTGGACCTTTGTAGATCCCTCATCCCAGAACTGTTCTGTTTGAGCCTTGGATTTCTCTGAAACCCTTGCCTCCTATCTTGCCCAGGAAGTGGTCATGGTGAGCTGGCAACTAATTGGGGAGGCACCGACTGCAGCTGGGAGGACAAGGGGTTTCCATGAGTTAGAGGAAACGGCCCCTGCAGTTAGATCTGAGGGGAGAGCAACTGCTGTTCTAGCTCCCCGTGACTCTGCCCCGTTGGCAGCTGCTCCTGGAATTATGATGCTTTCTTGATAATTCTGAGGCTGTGGATGCTGTTGCAGATGACCTCGTCAGAAATCATAATTCTATCCTTGCAGCAGTGAGCAAAGCCAAGTGTCTTTCTTTGGCTCCTCCTGCTGCTGCCTCGCTCTCTACTCACTGTGAGCAAAATGGAAAAGGAAGGGACTTGCACATAGGCTTTCTCTGGTCTCATTTTGTCTGTGTCAAATCTCTGCCCAGAAGATGTTGGTGGATGAAGGCCTATTTGTGAGCTGGAGCTGGGAAAAGTACAAGTAGGAGAATTCTTGTTTCCTGTGTTACCTCGGTACTGCAAATCAGAGCCTGGTTGCTTTTGAGACACAGAGTAGCTGGAGCCCACATGCTAAATGGCAGTTCGTTCTTTGTCCAGAGAAGAGCAACCAGCTCTGTCCTGGGCACAGGAGAAACTATGCTCTATGTAGCTGGGAGCTGCAGTGTGGGTGTCCTGATGGTTTAAAAGTGGATGGCCTTGGACTAGGAAGTTTTGTTTCCAAGTAGCAAACATTCTTTGTTTCTCTTCAGGTAGAAGTGTGACTCTGATTTTGGAAACATTTCTAAAGGGAAAAGATATTTTTAACGGGCTTACTTATCTGATTATATTCTTCCATGTGTTTCCTTGATGTAGGAGGATTTTTCTGCTTAAGCCTCTATTCAGCAGGGTCCCTAACTACATTCTGATGCTAAGTATGTGAAATATAAAGAAATCTTCCCCAGGACTGCAGGTTGTGCATTGTACATTTCTAGAACCATAACCTCCCTGACTGGAGACACTGAACCTGTGGTTTACATTCAAACCATAGCTGTTCTGAATCTCGTTCTGAACTGTTAGTGACACATCTATGGTCTCTCCCACTTTATGCTATAGGAAGCTCCCAGCTGTCTCATCAAAAATACATTCTTCCCACAACTCTATGATTTTACTCAAATTACTCCACTAAGGTGCAATAATGAAATACTTTCAGATATCCTACACTCTGTTTGTTATTCATAATTCCTAAATACATTGGATTCAAAGTCAAGTGAGTCATTTAAGTCAATTGAGTCATTGTGTGGTCATATATGTGTTGTATGACCTTAACCATTCCATTTAACTTCTTTAATCGTCACTTTTTTCCCTCTCAAAGGAGGGTGATATATGTCTTCCAGATTTCCAGGGCTTTGAGTCAGGCAGAGATGAGGAAATGCTTCTGTATATCCACACTATCCCAATAAGCTATGGTTTGAATGAAAGAGGATTCTTGTAGTTAGGGCAATGGAATCTGTTAGTTGCATAAAATGATTTCAGGAAACTCTTGTTTTTGTATTTCCATTTCCGTGCCACTGCATTCAGCATTGCTTGGCCATCAATAGCACTGAAACTACAAGGATCTTAATCTACACCAATATGATTTTTTATGTGTGACTGCACAATAAGCTAGGAGCCCCCGAACACACTCTTCTCACAGTGACTATAACATTGAGAATTATACCTGTTTTAGAGAAAGCTGAGGTGTAGGAGTGATTGGTTCATACAGCAATTAGTTACAAGGCACCTATCACTCTGTAAGGGCCTATGCCAGATACTGGGGCACCAGCAATACTCTCAAATTGAATCTCGAATTGTATCCTGTGGCACCAGTATCCCATATGGGCAGTGTTTCATGTCCCAGCTGCTCCTCTTCTGATCCAGTTCTGTGCTTAAGGCCTGGGAAAGCAGTGGAAGATGACTCAAGTGCTTGGGCCCCTGCACCGGTGTGGGAGACATTGAAGAAGCTCCTGGTTTCGGATTGGCCCAGCTCTGGCCGTTGTGGCCATTTGGGGAGTAAACCAACGAATGGAAGACCTCTGTCTCTCCCTCTCTCTGTATGGTTTAAAAGCGGGTGTCTGTAACTCTACCTCTCAAAGAAATAAATAAAATCTTTAAAAACTAATTGTGTCTCCAGCCAAATGTTCAACCGTTCACTTAATATCTCCGCTTGAATGCTTATCTGGCATTTAAAACTTCATATGTCCGAAGAATAACTTCCAGTTTCTCTGGTACACTCTTCACTAATTGTGTTATCTCCATACTATAGTCTTAGGTCCTCCTCCTTAGTAAAAGGAACTCCCACTTTCCATACACTCAAGTCAAAACACTGAAGTCGTCTGTGAGTCCACCTTCTGTTTTTCTGCATATCCAATACAGTAAACTGTCACCTCCATCTCTAAAATATTCTAAGAGTCTCATTAGTCCTGTGGACCTGCACAGCCAACTGGCCCACAGCAGTCTCCATCACAAACTGCAATAGCTGCTTAGCCACTGCCTCAAGTTTGCCTCACTGAAGACTAGTTTTGCAGCGCCCTTTTACAACCATGTTCCACATGAGCAGCAGGGACCCAAGCACTACGCTGCCTTCCCCTGTTTTCGCAGGTGCACTAGCAGAAAGTTGGAATGGAAGCGGTGTGGCTGGGACTTGAACCAGCACTCTACACAGGATACCAGCATGGGAAGCCGCAGCTTAGCCCACTGTGTCACAACACCAGCCCTTGTGCATGAATGTGTTTTGATAGGTTACTTCCATCTCTTTGAGCTCCATGCTTTCCTGCCCACCCTCACAGTTCGTGCCTTCATTGGTACCTGTTGCCTTTAACTTTGTAAGAAACATACATATGAGGTCTGGAACTTACTTAATTACATACATATGACAGTGGAATATTTTGGCCAGTTTTTCTCTGGTTATAAAATCAGGGTAAGTGTTCGGTGTAACCAACTTATGAAGCTTGCACAATTCTTCCTTAGTAAATTTATATGTCAGTCTTTTATTTTTCTTCTTCTTTTCTTTGTTTCTCTAATGTTGTCATGATCATCCTCTTTAGCTGGGAAACCTGACAAAAATATAAGTAGGGAGACCACTGGAGAATGTTGGTAATAACTAGACCAAAGAAAAGACTTCAAAAAAGTGTTAGTGCAAGTGACTACCCATCCAATAGAATCTAGGCCTGACCTCATAGCAACAATTCATTTACAAAGAGAAGCAAAGATTAGCAAGCTAAGGGTCTATGGGCCATATCTAAGCAGTAGATATACTTTTATGGGAACTCCAGCCATGTCCGTTCATTTATGTATCATTTATGGCTCTTTCAAGATACAGTGGCAGAATTAAGTAGCTGAGGTTTGAGTTTGTCCATGGTCCACACAGCCTAAAATATTTACTATTTAGATTGGAGAATTTATCTTTAAAGCTACAAGTAATTGTAGGAAAATATTTTACAAATCTATTATTGTTACTGTCATGTATCACTTAATAATGGAGGCAAGTTCTGAAAAATGCATTGTTAGGTGATTTCATTGTGTGAAACATTGTAGACTGGCCTTATAGAAAACTAGATGGTGTAAAAGCCTACTATATACCAAGACTCTTTGGTTTAGCCTATTGTTCCTAGTCTACAAACATGTACAGCATATTCTTGTGCTAAATACTGTAAGCAATGGTAATAAAGATTTGTACATGTAAGCATAGTGAAATACAGACAAAAAATACAGTAAAAATGTGGTATAAAAGAAGAACTGGTACATCTGTACACTTACTATGGATGGAGTTTGAATGGAGTTGCAGGACTAAAAGTTGGTTTGGGTGAGTCAGCTAGTGAGTAAATGAATGTGAAGGCCTGGAGATGTTGTATGCTACTGTAGACTGTAAGCACTGGATACTTAGGTTACACTGAATTTATTTATTCATTTATTTTTTATTTTTTTGACAGGCAGAGTTAGAGAGAGACAGAGAGAAAGGTCTTCCTTTTTCCGTTGGTTCACCCCCCAAGTGGCTGCTATGGCCGGCGCACTGCACCAATCCGAAGCCAGGAGCCAGGTGCTTCCTCCTGGTTTCCCATGCAGGTGCAGGGCCCAAGCACTTGGGCCATCCTCCGCTGCCTTCCCGGGCCACAGCAGAGAGCTGGACTGGAAGAGGAGTAACTGGGACAGAATCCAGCACCCTGACTGGAACTAGAACCCGGGGTGCCAGCGCTGCAGGTGGAGGATTAGCCTAGTGAGCCGCAGCGCCGGCCATACTGAATTTATTTTAAAAATTCTAATTTTGGGCCGGCGCCGCGGCTCACTAGGCTAATCCTCCGCCTAGCGGCGCCGGCACACCGGGTTCTAGTCCCAGTCGGGGCGCCGGATTCTGTCCCGGTTGCCCCTCTTCCAGGCCAGCCCTCTGCTGTGGCCAGGGAGTGCAGTGGAGGATGGCCCAGGTGCTTGGGCCCTGCACCCCATGGGAGACCAGGAAAAGCACCTGGCTCCTGCCATCAGATCAGCGCGGTGCGCCGGCCGCAGCGCGCCGGCCGCAGCGGCCATTGGAGGGTGAACCAACGGCAAAAGGAAGACCTTTCTCTCTGTCTCTCTCACTGTCCACTCTGCCTGTCAAAAAAAAAAAAAAAATTTTATTTATTTGTAAGAGTTATACGGAGAGAGAAGGAGTGGCAGAGAGATGTCTTCCATCCGATGGTTCACTCCCCAATTGGCCGCAACGGCCGAAACTGCGTCGATCAGGAGCCGGAGCCTCCCCTGGGTCTCCCAGGCAGGTGCAGTGTCCTAAGGACTTGGGCCATCTTTCATTGCCCTCCCAGGCCATAGCAGAGAGCTGGATCAGAAGTGGAGCAGCCAGGACCCGAACCGGTGCCCATATGGGATGCTGGCACTGCAGGTGGCGGCTTTACCTGCTATGCCACAGTGCTGGCCCTCCATTATAATCTTATGGAACCACTGCCATGTATGTGGTCCATTGTTGACCAAACCGTCATTACGCAGCTCAGGACCATATGACAAGCAACGTTGATCTATGCTGCTTAGATGGCAGAGTATGAGCTACTGAGGGAAGGGTGTCATAGCCCGGAAGGGAGTATGTTGTAGGCTTCCAGGTGCCGTAGTACTCTATCTGAGGCCTACTTCCATGAGTGTGGTTGGTTCCTGAGAATTCATTAAACTGAACAATAGTGAATGTATGCTTTGCTTGTGGTATGTACGGCAGATTTCAATAAAAAGTTCTATTTTTTAATATGAGCCAAATTTTTTATTCATTTCTTGCATTTGAAGTACACTTTAATGACATTCTGGGCTTGAGATTTTCTGCTGTAGTCCTCAACTAATAAACAACTGTGTCTGTCTACTTTATCAGGTTTTCCCTCTGTCATTTTTACACAGGCCACCCCCTTTGCTCCGGTTTCTTATTGTCATCAACCTTAATTAGATCTATTTGATGTTCAACAGAAAGGGCTTCCACCAACTTGACCCACATAGGCTCATAACAGATAGAAGCAAGCAGGCAAAGGTAGGTTTTGCAGCTGAAATACAAAATGCAGGTGTCTAAGGCTTCAGCTTCTTGGTGAATTCCACATCCTGGGTGATCCTGGATGAGGGCAGTCTTACCACCTCTTAGGAAGCCATGCTAATATCCATTAAGTATACCAAACACTTCAAAAAGCTTGTGGGTAAAAAAGGAGTAAAAAAATAAGTTTATTTTGGTGCAAAACACTTTTGAAAGGCAGACAAAGGGAGAGATTGAAGGTCTTCCAGCTGCTGCTTCACTCCCCAAATGCCCGTAACGTGCCTAGGCCAGTACAAAGCCAGGAGCCAGGAATTCCATCCTGGTCTCCCATGTGGGAGGCAGGAACCCAAGTTCTTGGGGCATCATCTGCTGCCTCCTAGGCACGTTAGCAGGAAGCTGTGTTAGAAGTGGAGTTGAGGGGCTGATGCTGTGGTGTAGCGGGTAAAGATGCCACCTGTAGTGCCAACATCCCATATGGGTGCTGGTTTGAGTCCCAGCTGCTCCACTGCCAATCCAGCTCTCTGCTGTGCCTGGAAAAGCAGTAGAGGATGGCCCAAGTCAATGGGCCCCTGCACCCATGAGGGAGACCCAGGAGAGTCTCCTGGCTTCAGGTTGGCACAGCTCCAGCAATTGCAGCCAATTGGGAAGTGAACCAGCAGATGGAAGACCTCTCTCTGCCTCTCCTCCTCTCTCTGTGGTAGCTCTGACTTTCAAATAAATCTTAAAAAAAAAAAAAAAAAAAAAAAAAAAAAAAGTGGAGTTGGGCTAGTGCTGTGGCATTGCAGATTAAGCTGCTGCCTGCACCGGTGCCGCGACTCACTAGGCTAATCCTCTGCCTTGCGGCGCCAGCACACCGGGTTCTAGTCCCGGTCAGGGTGCCGGATTCTGTCCCGGTTGCCCCTCTTCCAGGCCAGCTCTCTGCTGTGGCCAGGGAGTGCAGTGGAGGATGGCCCAAGTGCTTGGGCCCTGCACCCTATGGGAGACCAGGAGAAGCACCTGGCTCCTGCCTTCGGATCAGCGCAGTGCGCCAGCCGCAGCGCACCGGCCAGCCGTGGCGGCCATTGGAGGGTGAACCAACGGCAAAAGGAAGACCTTTCTCTCTGTCTCTCTCTCTCACTGTCCACTCTGCCTGTCAAAAAAAAAAAAAAAAATACAAAGCTGCAGTAATAAGTAATACAGTATGGCATAAGAAGGATATACATGTAGGTCAATGGACTAGAACCAAGAGTCAAGAAATAAAGTGTCACTCTCCAGTCAGTGGATTTTTGACAAGAGCGAGAGTCTTTTCAACAAATTGTGTTGGGAAACTGAATTTTCCAGAGAGGAAAGAAACGAAAATTCATAGGAGAAGACAACATCTTTGGAAGTCTTGTCCTAGAGAATCAAATGGTGTCATTCACTGAGGCTCCCTGCAGACCACACTTCAAGTTCTGGGGCTGGAGCTGGAGGCCGTTTTGGAAGCTTTCTGGGGGATCCAAAGTCCCTATGGTAGGAACGCCTGTGAGGCTAAGAGCTCTTTGCTCTAGATTTTGCCACCAATACAAGTATCATGGTGGGGTTTGTGGCCTCCATTAGTCTTCTGTAGCCTAAGAACAGCTCTTAACTTACTCAGATATTACTAAGAGGAACCAGATGCAAAAAATTTGAAATATAGGATGAGCTAAACATAAAATGTGGCCCTTCTCATATCACCCAGAGTTCATCAATTTCATTGAAGTCTGATGCTTTAAGATTTTGGGGAGGGGCCAGCGCTGTGACGTAGCAGTACTGGAATCCAATATGGAAGCTGTTTCTAGTCCCGGCTGCTCCTCTTCTGGTCCAGCTCTCTGCTGTGGCCTAGGAAAGCAGCAGAAGATGGCCCAAGTGCTTAGGCCCTTGCACCACATGTGAAAAAGTTCCTGGCTCCTGGCTTTGGATTGGCTCAGCTCTAGCCAATGTGGCCATTTGGGGAATGAACCAGCGGATGGAAGATCTGTCTCTCCCCTTCCGTAACTGCCTTCCAAATAAATAAATAAATCTAGAGTTGGCATTATGGTATAGTGGCTAAAGCTGCTGCCTACAGAGCCAGCATCCTAGATGGGCACCTGTCGGAGTCCCGGCTGCTCCACTTCCAATCCAGCTCCCTGCCAGTAAGGCTGGGAAAGCAGTGGAAGGTGGCCCAAGTGCTTGGGCCCCTGCACCCATGTGGGAGGTGGGGAAGAAGCTCCTCACTCCTGGCTTTGGCTTTGCCCAACCTTGGTCTTTGCGACTATCTGGGGAGTAAACCAGTGGATGGAAGATGTCACTCTTTCTCCCTCTGCTTTCAAATAAATAAATCTTTAAAAAAGACTGTGAGCAGGATGGGGAGAGGTTACAAGCAGGAGGAGTAAGTTCTTGTTGACAGTAATATTTTGTATATCAAAACAGGTAGAAGAGATGTTTCTGATCTTCCCACAAAGAAATTATGAATGTATGAGGTGGTAGATATGCTAATTATTCCAATTCAGTCATTACACAATGTATACGTGTATCAAAGCATTATATTGTACCCCATAATTATTTAAACTTTTTGAAATAAAGAAG